GGATTGAGCTTTTATTAGCTTTGTTAGAGGCAATGTTTTGGGGGTAAGAATAAAAGGAAATCTTTTATATGTAGACATTTCTGTCAAGCCTTTCAAAGTAATGGCATGCACTTCGAAACCAATATTCCCTTTGCAGTATTACTGTGTCCCAAGAACATATATCCTACTTTGTTTGTTCCAGTTGGCCTACAACAGAGTGGTTACTATTATTGTGTGGTTACATTACTAACAGGCTGCTTTTAAAATGTTTTGAGAAAGAAAATGAAATTCAACACCCAAAAGCAAACTTTAATCAGTTGATATGAATCTAGGTAAATAATGAATCCTTTTTTAAAAAAATAACGAGCGCCAAAAAAAAAAAAGACCTACATTCAAAATATAATCAATATCTCCCAAACAAAATAACTTTTTCATTTTAAGTTGTGAACCAGTTATCTAAAACAGGCAAAAATAATCGTTGGTGTGTTCTTGCTGTGTTGAAATTCAAATTCCATCTTTTAGTTATTTTTAAAACACAGTTTTCTGTGTTTTAAAAATAACTAAAAGATGGAATTAGAGGCAAAATAATGTTTAATCACCTCCAACTCCAATCAAAAGATAGTTTTAGAGTTGTTCTGGAACTTCCGGGTCTCTCGTCAAAGCAGCAATCCTAATATAAAGTTATATCTTTTTGTGCTAGAAATGAGCATTGGTGCAGTACCTGTGCCAGCCAGAATATGAGTGAGTATTGTTTAGAATGAACAGTAAACACTGTCTTATGTGCTTACGTTGCTGCGGTCTCTTATCCGTTATTGAAACTGAAGGCATTTACCGACACTCCCTAACAATTTGCTGAGAGTCATCAATTATGCAGGGCAGCGGCACGCACTGGGAAGGAAGGTAGCAGCAACAATATGGCGACAGCCGCAGTTACTCCCGACTCTTTTCTACATCTGCAGTTCAGTGGCAGCTGTCTGGATTTCTGTTAGTGCGAGAAAAAGTAAGTAAACACTTGATTCTCTGCTTTGTGTGATATTTTCGGCGGCGGGGTGGATCTCAGGCGCACTTTAGTCGACTGACTGCATCCCAGTGCCGCAGAGCGGTCCCTCTCTCAGCATCTTCTCCTCTGTGGAGGGCTCCCTGCCAGCACATGAGCAAACATGCATGCGTGCCAGGCTCCGGGCAGAAGGATGGGACGTGTGGTTTTTGTTTTTATTCAAACAGAGCGGAGGAAAGCCCGATGAGACGCGGGGGACGGAGAGAGAGCGGTTTATGAAGGGAGTTGGCCTGCAGCTGGATGAAATGACATTTCGGTGTGTCAGAAACATGCGTATGTATGAGAAACGCGTCAAACTTCTCAGAAAGGTTTTAAAAAGCGCATTTGCCCTGCGTTCAACCCAGAATTAACGCTCCGCTTACAAAACATTTTTATCAGCCATTTCTACCCCTTACCATTATTTAGTAACTCTAATAGCCCCCCTCCCCCTCCCGCTTGCGGTCTCTGATGACTGCGTGAGGGAGAAGGTGCGTCTTTACTTTGGCAGTCCTCAAATGAGACCGCGGCACATTTTTAAAACGTTTTTCATAAAAGGCTTTCCTCATAAATCTCAACATTTCTTGTGATTCGGTTTTATTTTGCAGCCTTCTGCAGAAATCTGCTCTTAGGGTGCGGTTTAGTTTCTAGACGGCTACTTTATTCTCATGACTGTTTTTTTACGTGCAGCCTGCGGATGCCAGGTTTGAGTTGTCAGGACCCAGATTGTGGATTCATCTGACCTACTTGGAGCTAGAACGTATAGAAGCAGACTGCAGCATGGGCTTTGGCCCTATGGAAGAACGACGCACCCGGAATATACACTTTACAGAAGGCCGGATGGCAAATAGGCTCGAGACATGACCATAATGAGAAAGGGAGCTGGAAGGGGTTATTTCTAAGGAAGGACGTTCCTCACAATAAAGAAGGGATGCTCAGCTCATCAGTCTTCTGTTATTTAAGGAAAAAGTTCATCTTCAAGCCAAATATCCCAATCAGAATAAATTGAGGAACTCTGGGACTTTTATCCAGCTCGCATGTGTCACTGATCTGAACTTCAGTTGGATCGGTGTGTGGAGGGGAGGTTCTCCCCACAGGTACCGTTATACCTCCGGTGGCAAAGGGATAAACCTCCCCCTGGGAGGATGCTGGGGGATCATCAGAGTACACACCTATATAAATGAGTTGTTTCCGGTAGCGCGCGCAGCCGCCGCGGTGCGTATAGGTGCCCAAGGACGCAGCCTCATTTTTCTCCACGCTGCTGAGCAGGGAAGTGAAAAAGCTGATCATTTTTGCTTATGGAGCTGTTTAACCTGCAAGGGTTTGCATCCGTTTATTGGCTTTATTTTATTTTTCTTTTGACTCAGGATGGGATTATTTTAGCCATAACCACTTTGGAGCTGCACGCGCCGTGTTACATGGATAAGAAGCTAAATAGACCATGCAGACCAAAACTATTCACACTATTTAAAGTCAGACGGATGTAATCCACGCGGCGTTTCTTACAGCCTCCACGATATTTCCGACATTTAAACGTATACCATCACTTCTCCTTGCCTGTTATGTGACAAAGTCCCGGCTGCTGATCAGGCTGCATCCTGCTCTGAACACTCTTGAGGCATCAGTTTATGTGACATTAGGGGAAGGATACTTGGAGGTTGCATCCAGACTTTGTTTCTGCTGGATTACTTAACTTTCCCCCCTGGGGATAACTGGATCTTTCTGCTCTCCTCCAGATGTATTTTTTAAATGTATTTCAAAGTAGTCATGCCATTGTTTACATAAAAATTGTGCACCCAGTCTAGTTTAGTCCTTCCAGCGTACATCATCAGCCTTTAGATGGATACATGCTGTAATTTCTGTGCAAAGTCATAGTTTTGACATTAAACACCGTGGCTGATCAGGTGCAGATGAAAAGGAAAACAATTATTTATGATAACGGTAAGTTAATAAGAGAAACGGTTCATGCACAACCTTGTGTTTCTAAATTTTTATGAGTAAAACATAAAAGTTCATGTGAAATGAGTGACTTTTGTGCAGCATCTTATAGGTTACCTTGAATTTTTTTCTCTTCCCCACATCTAATCACTGTGCCTCCCTCTCCCAGAGCTGCATGTTGGGGATGGAAAACAAATAGAAAGGAAATAGCTGCAGGATGAAAACATGGCCGCACCCCTTCTTGCACCCCCAGGACCTGACAGCTTCAAGTATTTCACCCCAGAGTCTCTCGCTAACATCGAGAAGCGTATCAATGAAGAGAAAAACAAGAAGCCACCCAAGCCCAGGTCGGACAGCAGTCACCGCGACACATCCGACGACAATGAGCCTAAGCCCAACAGCGACCTGGAGGCCGGGAAGAGCCTGCCGTTCATCTACGGCGACATTCCTAATGGAATGGTGGCCACACCACTGGAGGATCTGGACCCATTCTATTTGAACCAGAAAGTGAGTTGGATCATCATTTCTTAAAGACCAAGTAACCCCCTACCAGAGTCTAACTCCACTCCTAATTCCTGTTTGAAAATGCACCACAAGGAGGCGTTACCTAGCAGACGGAGAGGGCGGAGCGACTAACACACACACACACACACACACACACACACACACACACACACACACACACACACACACACACACACACACACACACACACACACGCACACACACACACACACACACACACACACACACACACACACACACGCTCGCACGCACACACACACAGCCTTATTGTGACATCACATGGTGCCAGCTAATGTCTTAGGGTACCTCTTAGCCAATAGTGATGGCAGATTTAAATTCAAATGTAGTGCAGAGTTTTTACCTGAAGAGGGCGCTATATACAGCGACAGTGTAAGGCAGAATATTTAAATATTGACTAAGATGCACTAAAGTGCCAAATAATTGACTGCACGTGTCGACAGCATGATTAAACACTCATTTATATAGTTTGTCATCAAAAAAAGTTGAAATGGGGGTGACTTGCTCTTTAAACTATCTGATTACACAACTTCCTCTTCTTTGAAACATCACACCTCCTCACATGTCACACTAAAACATAATCATGCAGCAAGCAGATGGGTGAGTAGGGCCACATAGGAATCAAATGTCATGTCATTGAAGTCAAAACGATTCGTGACAGAAATGTGGTGTTGGTCCTGCTAGTGTCCTCCTTGGTGTATTTAAAATGAATCAAACTGGCTCTGCCTGGTGTGTCTTTTGTTCCAGTTTTCTGTGGGATGCTCTTCAAGCTCTCTAGCATTGTGAATGGGGTCAGATGGACCTCTGGTGTATTTCTATTTTTTGTTTTAATAATTTTTAAGTGGCGTATCACTTCACCCCTGCCAAGGCGTGAACTTTAAACCCCGCTTAGCCAGCCTCTGTCCTGGCGGGGTCACCTGATAGGAAAGTGGAAGGGCTAGGGCAGCGTGTTGGTTCACCTGGTGATGTGTGGGGTGGTCCATTTTATGCTGTTGTTGTTAACTGTTTATCTTTTTATGATTAGACTCACTTATATGTAACAAGATGAAAAACTGGCATCAGTGCAGCTGCATTTGTTTTGATTCCCTTCCAGATGAAATGCTGCAAAAATAACTGTGATGTTTCTCCAAGTTGCATGACGATAGTCCGTTTATGTTCCTACAAACACCATCATTTTGTTTCAAAAGATAAATTAATCAGAGACAATGCTGAGCCATGCCCTTCCTCCTCCAGCTCTGCTCTGGTAAAAGAGGAATGAAAAGTTAAAGCAGGAGATAGATGACGGGACAGGAAGTGGGATGGGGGTTAAAAAGAGCAGAAGCAAGCTAAAGTACCCTTCAGCTGTATGGAGTAGCCAGCCTCCTGTGTTGTAGTGGTGATAATGTGCAAGAGAATCTGTAGGCTCTATAGAAACAAGATGGTTAGTCAGCAGAACTGACAGCCTCGCTGAGCATCACTCCCTCCAACGTGAGGTGGATGGAGCCGCCGGAGGCGTGTGCTCCTCTTGTGATCGATTGATTTACAGCCTTGGGTCAGTGTTTAGCACATGACGGCTCACATTATGGCCTTATTATCCATCCTAATGGCTATCTGGTTTTTCCTCCTGCTTTGGTGATCTATGTGTCAAAGTCTACTCTAGTCACATGAGACACCAAGGGTTCAGAGCACTGAGGGCGAGTGATTTAGTTTTATGTGTAAAACAAAAACCAAAAAGATGCATCTTTCTTCGGAACATGGTATTATACTTTTGGACATTTTTTTACTGTAAAAAAGGTTTAATTAGCTATTTTTACATTGGAAATCCAAACTATTCTATTTGTTATTTGGAATAATGTATATATCTATTAATTACTTTTATCAAAGTTATGTTACTTCATGACTTCTTTGGTAAATACCAAACACACAAAATAATGACAACTAAAAACCTGTACTTAAACATGTTGCTGTTCAAACTGCAGATCGTCTGATGGCTCGTCTACACTGTAAGAAAGGAAATGTTGAAATTACTTATCCAAGTTATGTCAACTGGTTCCACTAAATGTAAAGAGTACTATACGTTGTTATGTTGAAAGTAAATTTATATTAGTCTTTACATTTAAGGGTTTAGTGGAACCAGTTGGCACAACTTGGTTAAGTAAATTCAACATTTCCTTTCTAAGAGTGTACTCTGTACAGAATGATGCAAAGATCAGTTACGCTCTTTGTTTTCATGAGCTCTTTGACTGGAACAACACGATACTTCCACGCTCATGTTCTCTTTGCAGACTTCTGACCAAAACTTGTTTGATTCGCTCTTTTATTTTATTGCACCATTGTTTATGTCACATATAATTAACTCATGCTTTTTCAAAAATTGTGAAACTAAATTACATCTTCCTGATTGTGATTCTTACATACACTCTTTCTGGTGGTTTTCCTTTTACTGCTATAGGTAACATTTATAGTCTCATTCATTCATTTGTTTCTTAAATCTTTGCTTTAAGTCTCCAAGAAAACTTACAAAAGCATCTTTTACAGTCCTGATCTTTTATTTTTCTACATGTGTCACTGCGGTGAATGTGAAATAGATTTTGATGGTTTTATAAAAAAAAAAAAGGTGGGGAAATCTTCCTCTTTCCTCTCTAAATCATATGATTTATGCATCTAACTGGTCTTACTTCCCTTTATTTTGCATAATCAAGCACTTTATCATTCCTGCAATATCCATGTGGCAAAGCAGAAGCAACACAGCATCTTTTTATTTATCAGATCAATAGATCCTCAAATCTGCAGCTGTTGACCTTCATCAACCCTGAGGAAGAGCTCACCCCCCCCGTCCATGCCCTCACCTTTCAAGGCTGTCAGTCTCCTCTAGTTGATCGACAGCGTCCAGCATTGCTCTGTATGTCAGAGCGAGTCTAGTGTGTGGCTGTCTCTGCCCATGTGTGTGTGTGAGTGTGTTGTCATTGCTGCAGGAAATCTGATCACAGTACTCATGTATAAAAGAGAGGAAGAGCAGGCAGTGGTGAGGAAGACAAATGCAGAGTTGCAGTTCTTGTTTTCCCCTGTGATGAGGAGAGGACCGGCTGGGCTTTTCAAACGTCTGATGTGACAATGTTAAAGTCGCCGTAGAAAAAGCAGTGAGAGCAAGATGTGTGTGTTCTGTATGCGTGTGGGGGAGGAAACCCAATACGTGCTAAAAGTACAAACAAAACTACAAGTTCCATCCATGCAAACAGCCCATTTCCCTTAACTGTGGCTGCAGCAGCAGCGGTTTGTGTTCGGCTGCAGCTGCTAGAGGGCGCGCAAGGTGAGCTCGCAGCAGTTTGTGAAGCGCACTGCACACGCACCATTGCATGATACACCGGCAGCTCGCTCTGAGTGTGTCTCTGTCCATTACTCTGCTTTTTCCTCTCTCTGCTGCTGCCTCGTCGCTGGCGTTTTTCCTTCCTTAGAGCGAGGGCCGAGCTTTGGTGCTCCGTCTGAGCCCTCAGTCTCTGATGACACAGCATCCTCTGTACTGAGCCGAGTGAAAAGGGGCTGGAGGTGGAGGGGGTGGAGGGTGAGCTTGCTGCTACTGCTACACAGGCTGGTAGAAAGAGGAAATGTGGAGCAAAGGAGAGGAATTTCTTTGTTATTCGCATCAAATGCAGGTTTTTGTTGGGTTTCAGTGTTTTTTTTAACTTAGCACTCACATCTAAATATGAAAAAATAAACTCCATGTTTTTGTCTCTAATGTGCACACTAACAATAAAAACTTATTATTTCATCTTTTTATTAAATTCAGGCAATGCTAATGATGATGTTTAACGTCTTATTCAAACACCTCTGTAATCTTTAGATTTTCTAAGTATAATAAGTTAGATTTCCATAAAATTCAGGGTATCCTTTAATAAAATTTAGGGACTAAAATTCTTTACTGGAATATCAAACAGTTAAAAGAACACAAGAAGAACAAATGCTCTTAAATGAAACCTTCTCATGCAGGGAAAGGGTAAAGTTCCTCAGTAAAGGATGTTGGAGATAACTTTTATTCATCTGAAACTTGAATTTGTACTAAAATCTACTGGCTGGTTTGCAGGTAAACCCAGAATATTAGTTATAAATAAAATGTTTGTATCTGCTGATGTTACAAAGAATATTTTACTTTGGAAATCCGGTAATCTGAATTATTTTAACTAATATATCCTTGTTGCACCACAGTTAGGGATAGTGCACATTAAACAATTAAAACAAATGAAGATTATATCATTTGATTTATTATTTAAAGGAGGTCTTAGCTAGTACAGAAATAACAAAACAGGCATTGGTGATGATTTATTTATATTGTTCTTTGCTTTATTAAACCCCAAATTTTCCTTCATCTGGCCTCTGAGAGTCTTAATCTTTGACACTCAGTTTATTGATACTATTGATAAGAAATGGGTTAAACTATGCAGAAGTTGAAGCATGTTTGCAATGTCTACTTCTTAAATCTAGTTTCTGTAATAAAATTTTATTCTTAAATACTTTTGTCTTTAGGGGACGTGCACAAATGTTGACTTGCAGCATGAATAAAAGCAGGTTTGGAGATCTATTGGATATTTTCAGAACAATCAGGACAACCTGGCAGCAGATCACACATAAATGTAAATCTGTCCTGTTCATATTAACAGACCAGTCTTCCCTTCTAACGATTTACTCCCTTTATCCTCTTGTTTAGATCTCTCTAATCTCTCCTTTTCTCCAACCTCACCACCTCCCATCTCTGAGTTTCTCTGCTGCATCCTTCCACCATTCCCCCTCTCCCTCCTCCTCCCTACAGCTACCCATCTATCTCAGGTTTGGCTTTCTCTTCTCTGCAGCTCTTTGGCTTTCTGTCCTGCATCACTCCCCCACCAGCATCCCCCATCTCTCTCTCCATTTCTTTGCCTCTCTTTGCAGCTGTCCCATACACATCAGCCCCCTTCTTGTGCCCCTCCTCTACAGTTTCATCTGCTCACCCAAATACACAGAAATAATCACACATCACTGTCCTTGCAGCAGCTTTCTGCATGCTGCCTACATCCTGATTTGCTGAGTTGTGTGTGTTTAAATGGGCATTTAGCTACAGAATCAGCATTAAAACAAGCTCTCTTTGCACATACGGTATAAGACATGATCTGTAAAATGGATAAAATGTTTTTTACTCTGCATTTACATTTTGTTGATTCGGGTGACTAAGAGCCTGCTGCACAGAAGTTGGAAAATAAGAAAATTAGAAAATTCTGCTTCAGGGAAAGGTGTGTTTGAGATTTAGCCCTTGGATATCTGAGCCCTGACATACTTGTTGAGTTAATTCATCTGTTTTTATTGTAGCTTCCTCCTCTCCCACGTGCCGACTTTCAGTTTTATCACCCGTTAATTCAAGTTCATAATCAATAATAATCTATTATTATTTATTTCCATAACTTATGTAAGTATTATTAAACTGGCACGAGTTAGACTCAAATCTTTTTTTGGCGTTGACACAAACTCATTGTGAAGCGTACAACTAAATGCATCTATTGTGTGTCCTTTTGCACATCGTTGCCTGATTTTAATATTCCTGTCTTGCTTTGTCGTACTGGTTTACATTTTTAGTTATTAGATTTGGTAGATTCAAGTATTTTATATCACTCCCCCCCCCCCCCCCCCCCCCCCACACACACACACTCGTGTAAGCTCTCAGTGCAGCGTGTGACTCTGAGCTCACATCACACACAGGTGCACCGACACAAACAAACAAACAGAGCTGCCTCACCCCAGCACACCCCATGCAGCCCAGTGCTGTTTATGGGCAGGGAGTGGTTGTTGAGAGCCCGGAGTCAGCAGATCTGCTCTGATCGATGACAGCATTTGCTGTTTCTTTCCAGTAAGAGCTTTAAACCTGCGACGAGGAAAGTCATTTGGCCACAAAGATACAAGAACTCCTTACATACGTGTCTGCTGCCTCTGAGAGGGCTTCTGTCACGCTGGAAAGGCCAGCCAGGACAGAGGTGTCCCGGCTGGCTCTTGGGTGACTGATCGTTAAGACGGTGATGTCAGCAGATTATAACAAGGTTACACACCCTTGGTGCCTCTGAATATGTGTCTTCTTCTCTCTGCTTCACTAAGAGGCTTTTATAACACAGCAAACAGTTAGCTTGTTGTTGTAGAGTAAATATTTCAGGGTAAATATGGCTTCAGTCTGCCTTTTTTCATGTGGATCGGTAGAATCTGTCAGCCAGACCAGTGCAGTAAAGCCCCATGACTCAGTGTTGAGCTTACTCAGCTCCTCCACATTTAAAACATGACTTTTTATAACATTCACCACTCACAGGTCACTGTATGGTTGTTCCAACTGTTCTAACATCTATTTTCTTTTCTCTTCTCTCCACAGACTTTTATAGTCCTAAACAAGGGGAAAACGATCTTCCGCTTCAGTGCCACACCCTCCTTGTACATTATAAGCCCTTTTAATCCATTTAGGCGGATAGCTATAAAGATTTTGATACATTCATATCCTTTCAAGTGATTTATTTTCTGATTTAAAACGGACTAGAGATGGATGCAGAGGTAGACCTTTAACACAAAGGGACATGAGACTTTCAGGAGGTGTCAGGGATCAGATGAGTCAACGTGAGGAACGTAGTGCTAGGCCAGACCTAACTCACAGGCAGGAAGTTAAGAGAGGCGAAAAGAGTCAGGGATCAGTAGATTTGTTTATGACGCTTAAATACATTTTGCAGATATTGTGTCACAGGGTAAAATGATCAATTTTAACAAACTTTGTCTTGACGAAACTAGCAACAGCCTGTCAGTTGAAATGACTTAGTTTTTGTTTGTTTTGGATAAGTGATTATATGATGTAGTTCCTCCCTAACCCACTCATTATTTGGATCAATTAATTAAATACAAACAAACAAATAGTTGGTTAACAAACAGAACATTTGAAATAATAAATAGATTATTTAAAATGTAGTCCTTCAACTGACTTCAGATATTTTTAAAGAAGGGTTATGTGGAAAGATACTAAAAAGACAAAATGTTCCCGGTTGTAGATACAGGAGCTCTCTGAAAAACCTGTTTGGGGAAATAGATTGGTTCCTGACCAGATTGAGAAGCTAGCAGCTAGTCACCATGGGTAAAGTCCAAATATCTACAAGCAGTCATAAGTTCATGAAAACACTGTTTTATGAACCCTGTACCAACACTGGTTGTTATCTTATGGTTATTTGCCGTGGAGATAGCCGCGAGGAGCTCTAGCTCTAGAGTTTTTCTGTGAAAAGGCTATGCACACATTTAGCATCTAGCAATTTCACAGAGAAACACTTTTTACTAGTTATTTTTGAAAACACTATCAGTTGTTAATAGGAAAGTAGTCGTCTACCTCTATTTCCTGCATTATTTCTTTACTTATATTTTGTGATGACGAAAACCACTTGAGATGTATCGTCTCATTTCAGAGCATTTTTCCTCAAATTGTAAAAATAGCAAATGAGATAGAAGTAATTGCATAATCACAAACTCACAATAACAAAAACACACACACAAAAACAACCCCAAAAAAATCCTGCTAAGCTGTGGCTCACCATCACCCATAATTATAACTAACGGCTGAGCAGACCGAAGAGCATTAGCCACTGAAGTAAAATAGACGGGGAAACATTCGGGTCAGAAAAAGTCTGACAGATCTACATCACTCTGCAAATTAGCATTTATGGACTCACCCATCTTCACTCGTGAGCAGGGAAGACTATTGTTGCATCCAGGAAACAGCAGGGAATGTCTCAGCTAGTAGAAGCTAACTGTTAGCAACTCTACAACATAGCAGAACTACTTTCGGTTTGTGTTATTTTTGGAGATAAAACATCAGTGTATCAAAGCAAACAGTCAGTGGTAGAGTCGCATTGCTGTTAGCCAATCAGAGGCACAATGTCAGAATATCATGAATAATAAATAGGTAAGACTCCAAATCTTGCCGTTTTCTATGGAACTCAAAAGTATTCAAAATTCAATAAATAAATAAGACATTATGAAATAAATATCTACATGAAGAAGTGCTAGACAATCATGCAATCTGACAATGAAATGATGAAATAACAGAATGTTATGTAAAATCTAAGCTCGATATTATGAAATATGTTTCATTCTTCTTTTAAAATGTCTTAATATAATGTTTTCAAAAGTATTTTTTTTAATAATAATTCAAATTAATATTGAGCCATTTTTATTTAATTCATTCAGTTTTTATTACATAACGTCTTTTTAACAAAGACAGCTTTTATTTCATAATAGTGTTTTTTCCAATGGCTGATTTATTTCATAATGACACTTTACAGCAGAATGTCTCAGTCCGTCAGTCAAACCAGTGGGTGTGACCTGCAACACCATTGGTTAATCCTTCAACATCATTTGGTTTTCCTTGATTTCTGCTCACCGTACATGACCGGACAGTTTAAGGTAGTTCTCTGTAACACCTTCCTAGGTCAATGGTCATGAAAGATGGTGGCGTTGCCTGAACTTAGTTTAGCTGTTTTCTTTGGCGGATCAGATAGAGTTGAATAGTTCAGTAGACGATATTTTGAGTTGTTTGGATTACATTTTTGAAGCATTTGGTTCGATACTTTGTGAATGATTGCTTTTGTCTGACTGAATTAGGAGCCAATGACACACTGGCTCCACCCCGTTAGGTTTGACTGACGGACTGAGACATTCTGCTGTAAAGTCTCATTATGAAATAAGTCAGCCATGAGAAAAAAACACTATTATGAAATAAAAGCTGTCCTTGTTAAAAAGACGTTATGTAATAAAAACTGAATGAATTAAATAAAAATGGCTCAATATTAATTTGGATTATTATGAAAAAATGACTTTTGAAAAACATTATATTAATAAAGATATTTTAAAAGAAGAATGACAAATATTTCATAACACTGAGCTTAGATTTTACATAACATTCTGTTATTTCATCATTTCATTGTCAGATTACATCATTGTCTAGTACTTCTTCATGTAGATATTTATTTCATAATGTCTTATTTATTTATTGGATTTTGAATACTTTTGAGTTCCATAGTTTTCTGCTCCCCCCTCATCAGAGTAGCGTCTACTTCCTGAAACAGGAGTGAAGAATTTTTCCCCACACTGACAAAGTAGCATGCTAGAGACCACAACAACAGTTTTAAAAAAATTTGTGAACTTGTTCTATAACAAAATCAGTTTACACAAAAAGATTTGCTTTAATTTAACCAAAAAGCCAAATGTTAGTCACACATTGTCTCAAAAACATTCCAGCATGGAAAAAATTTCACAAGTTTGAAATTTCCAAATGATTCCAGCAGAAATTTGATGACATTCCAGCCAGTAGTGGTACAACAGCTAGTGCTGCAGCTTATAGCGGCTGTAAATAACCACAGAAAATGTTATGTGACATTTATTGTGCCGTAAGGATGAACAGCTATCAAAGGTTGAGATTAGAGTGGCTTAAAGCCAGCAGAAACACCATCCCTGCCGCGATTAGCCGTTAGCTCATCAATCAGAACTAATCCCTGTTTTCAACAAACAACCTACAACATGGAGGATGGTAACTGCTTACGATGTTTCAACAGAGCCCTACTTTAAGAGTTGAACCATTCTTAATTGAAAGAATAGTAATAAAATAATAGTATGTACATATGAGGTCTTTGTCTGGTTGTTCCTTGCTGCTGTGTTTCTTTGGGGTGTCTCGGGCCACACTGTTGAATTTTCCCTTAACCATCATGTCCCCACGTTATTCAGCATGATCATCATGTGCACCATTTTGACCAACTGTATATTCATGACATTCAGTGACCCGCCAGAATGGTCCAAACAAGTAGAGTAAGTTGACGCTTTCACATATTCTCAGCAGTTATTTCCTTTCCCACGTTGCTCCCACTGCTTTTTACTCTGCTTGTTTTGTCCTTTAAGGTATACCTTCACAGGTATCTACACATTCGAGTCCCTCACAAAAATTGTTGCCCGAGGCTTCGCCATCGATGGCTTCACCTTTCTCAGAGACCCGTGGAACTGGCTGGACTTTATGGTCATTTCAATGGCGTAAGTACTTCAGTTTGTCATTACTCTGCAAATATTCAACACGTTTATCAAGAGGGTTGAATGAAATGAAAAAAATCACTGCAGTTAAATAACATATAATAGATGGTTCTTGTGTAACAAATACATGCCATTGCACACCAGCTTATAAGAAGAAATACAGCATTTTCATAGCATCTTGTCTGATATTAATTATGACTAAATCATAAGCTTGCTTTGGTACCTTTGATTGAATAATGTTCCAAACACCTGACAACAGATGTAAAAGGTAAAGAGTAAAGGTGATTGGTGCAAAAACAGGATGATGTTGAAAAATGGAAATCCACTTTTTTTTGCCTGGAAGTGACAAAAGCTACAAATTTCCTGGGTATTTTTATTAAGCCACTGAGAATACCATTTCCTTTAGACCTACTAAAGTTTCATTAAAATGTGGAAAAATCTAAAACCTTAATAGTTGTGTTGGAAGACTTTTGGATCTAACTCAAGCAGCACAAAATCTTGAAGAAAATATGAAAAATTATCTTTAAAAGCATTGTGTAAACTGTCATAAAAAATGAAAAATGACCTTTGTTGATATGTTGCTTTTGTTAAAAAAAGTTTAAAAATAATTCAGCTTTGTAATAGTTCTTTAATCTGAAGTCTGTTTTACATAATTTGTACGGAGGCATTGATATCTGTGGCTGCGTTCAAAGTCAGGGAGCGGCTGTGAAATCAGACGATCCAGCCCTCAGGTTTGTTCCCCTCACCTCAGCGTGTGTCCTGTTGTCTAGAAACCATGACTTGTGACATTTTGCTGAGCTTTTTTATTCCTAATCCTCGGTAAGCCACAGCAGCTTTGCTGCCATGCTAGCTGGTTTACGATGATTTTTCTTGTGACTTTTGGCAAAAGTTTTATTTAAAAAAATTAAAAAACAAGAGCCAGAACCTCGCTGAAGTTTACATTTTTTACCGCTAGATTTGAACATATTTACATTAAAAACTATAATCCTTTCTTGTTTCTTCCACCATCATTACAAGAACAAAAGTCCCCTGTTCAGCCTAAAAGAAATCTTGGGATAGCGTGGGCCATGAAGGATTCACCACACCTGTCTGTCATAGCATCACTGTGACATAATCAGCCTTCAAATGCAGCCTTGGAAGGATGCAACCCCTGAATTTGGACGCAGCCCACAAGTCCCTGACAGACAGGAAGCACAGCATTTGTAAATTTCCTCGCTGCTATTAAGAGTTTTGTATTTAAAATGGGATTTACTAGAAGAAGTTGCCTTTAGGTCCTTCAGTCAGCCAACTCCACCGTGTTGATCATGCTTCAGATCTGACTTAACAAACTTTTCTCTTCCTCCTCTGATCAGGACGGCCCCTGAGTAACTGTATCTGATCCACCTTGCAGGTATATAACAGAGTTTGTAAACCTAGGCAATGTGTCAGCTCTGCGTACGTTCAGGGTTCTGAGGGCTTTGAAAACAATTTCAGTTATCCCAGGTAAGGCAGGTGTTTCTGTTGGGGCGGGCGATCCAGGGGGGGTTGATGTTAGTCATGGTTGTGTTTCAGTCCCTCTCCACTTCCACCTTCTTCCTCTCCTCACCAGTCAGACAGGTGTCCTCTCTCCCACCGTGGTGTCCCCTTCTGGTCTTCAATGATGGTGCTGGTGTCGTGCTCTTGCGCTAACGTGTGTGTGGTTATCGTGTGTGTTGTGTATCATGGGGTTCTGTTCTGTGTGTCATCCTACCTTGTTACAGATATATAACAGAGTTTGTGGACCTTGGGAATGTCTCGGCGCTGAGAACGTTCAGGGTTCTCCGAGCATTGAAAACTATTTCTGTCATTCCAGGTGAGACTCCCGTTTAAACACTAAGGCTGAGCTCCAAAATGTCCACCACACGTCTTTGTTGCTTTTACATTAATTTCCACCTGTCTCTTTTAAGGAGAGGATGTTTTAGGACAACTAAAGGTGCCCGCAGTGCACTTTTATTTGGCATCTCTGAATACGTACATTTTGCACATTATATTCATAAGAAGAAGAAAGAAGAAAATATCATTTCTATAGCGCCTCTCAAGTTAAAAATCACGAGGCGTAATTGCAATCATAATTTTGATTGGCACAAAATTGTTATTGCAAAGGAACGCTGTAAATCACAGACACACACTTGGTTTACTGGCAATCAGATAGACCCTAGAAACCCTCAACTCAGACAAAGAGACAAAGTGATGATAACTGATAAAAACTGATATCATCTTCACAATATTCAACAATATTGTGATTGCATGTTTGCTTAGTTTTAAGCAATGCTTCTAAAATCAAATTACTTAACCCAGTTATGTTCATAACCAATTCATATTTGCACATCTGGCTTAGACCTAAAGGTGTGGTTCACTCGTTTATTACATTTGCAGTGGCCTCTAGTAGGAATGAATGCCTTGTAAGTTGTACTCTGAGGAAAAATGTCAGGCTCGGAGCAGGAGTAGGACCCAAGATGCAGAGCTCCAGACGACATGAGGCAGGAGAAATTGAAAAAAGGTAGAATCCTTTATTTTGGGAAATAATCCAAAAATCACAGACAGGAAGCCAAGCCAGGTATCAGGAACAACAAAAAATTCAGAAGGTCACTTAACTGAGCAGGAGTCTAAGGTTTACACGGGGGAAACAAAACACGCTGACAACATTGGACCGACAAACACTGAGGGACAAGACAGGGTTTTTAAACACAGAGGGAGGTAATCAGGGGAACAGGTGACAGGTGTGAGGAGTGAGATTCTGGAGGGAAGGCAGGTGCATTCAATAAACTAAATGGGGGGAAAGAACTAAGCAGAAGGGAAGGTAAACATTAACCTATAAAACACGGAGTAACTAAACCTAAAGAGTAAGGGCAAATATAAACAACTAATAACTAGAGGGATGAGGAGGACTAATATAACAATAGGAATTACCAGGGAGAGACTAGAAGGAAACCTGAAGGAAGCCTAGAGAAAGCTGGGGATGATAATGAGACACAAGAGGAGAACCTGGAGTGAGAACAGGAGGGGGCTGGGGACCAGAGGGACACAGAACATGACAAAAAGCCCCGGTGCGCCTGTTTCAGGAACTAGAAGTGAGCCAGATCAGAGTTGAGCTTCAGATGACAGGATTTGGTCTCTTTTTTTCCTGATATTTTGACATCTCTCCTCTGATTGGCTAACAGCAATACGACTCTACCACTGACTCATGTTTGCTTTGCAACGTTGATGTTTTATCTCTACAAATAGCACAAGCCTGGAGGAGTTCTACTGTGTGGTAGAGTTGCTAATGCTAACAGTTAGCTTCTGCTAGTCCTGACATTCTCTGCTGCTTCCTGGATGATAAAACAACGACAGCCTACCCCGTCGTGAGTCAAGATAGGTGAGTCCATGAGTGTTAAGTGACAGTGTGATGAAGATCTGTCAGGATTTTAAAATCCTAGAATTTCACCGTCTATTTTCTATCAGAAGCTAAAGTAGGAGATTGGTGTAGGAGACTATTTTTATGTTCAGCCTGCATGACAAACGCAGAGTGACCGATGGTGTTTCAAAAATAACGAGTAAAAAAATGTGACTGGTTATAATCAGAAATAATCGTTAAAATGGTTTTTCAGTGAATCACACCTTTAATAACAATCCTGTTAAGGTTGGTTTATGTTTGACGCGTCCACAAGGTCCGCACGGCTCCATGCAACCACGTTACATCGTTTTAGCATCCACAACTCTCCATGTAGCACAAAGTTTCCGCTTCGCGCACCTAGGAAATTTTCTAACCATGCAGATGGTCCTGCGTGGAAAAACATGGCGGACTGGCAATCGCTCGTTGTGATGAAGGTTTGTAAGTTAGCCTTCGGCCCATAAAGATCACTGTGATCAAAATATTATTAATAACTGCAATCACAGTCGGAAAAGCTGAGGACACAGTAACAATGTTGTAAACATCAGGGATTTACACTTCTACTATGGTGTAGTGTTGGATGCATGCCATTAAACCCCATGCCGCCCCCTACAGTCTTGGAGAATATTGTCAGAGACAAGCTGCATAAAGCTTGGTTTATGCTTGACGCATTCACTTTCCGCGTGGTGATGCGGCTTGCGGATGGAACGCGCTTCACAACTCGCAGTGTTTATGGTTCGTGCGGCTCGTCTCTGCGGTGAGCCAATATTCTCCCAAACTGAATGGGGCAGCATGGAGCTCTACGGCAAGCATCCAACACTACATCATAGTAGAAGTAGAAATTACTGTTTACAACACGGCATTCCAGCATTTTTAACAGCGTTCTCGTCTTTTCCGACAGTGCGAGCTATTTCTCTCCAAGAATTATTTACAACATGTTGATCACGGTGATCTCTCAGAGCTGAATTATACAAATGTCTGTATTTACGAACCTCTGCCATACTAGTTCTTGCCGGTCCGCCATGTTTTTCCGTGTCCGTCCGTCCGCGTGGTTAGAAATTTTCCGAGGTGCGCGTTGTGGAAATTCTGGGCCGTGCGGAGGCGCGGTGGAGGGGCGTGGTTGTTAAAATGACGCAACTTTTCCGCACGGCTCCGCACGGACCTTGCGGACGCGTCAAGCATAAACCAACCTTAACGTAGAAAGGAACCATAAACGCTGCAAGTTCCGTGCTAGTTCCATCCACGCGTGTCATTTCCGCGCAGAATGTACATGCGTCAAGCATAAACCAAGCTTAAGACTACCAAGCCTGACCTGATTAAAATACATCTCTGCTGCATGAAGCTTTCAGATGTGCTGTATAAGACTGGCTTTAAAGAGCTCGCAAAAGGTCCCAAAATTTAAATGTTTTATTTTATTTTATATTATTTTACTTTATTAAAGCCTGACGCTGATTAATTAAAAAAAAAGTAATCTGATTATAACTTAAAATGGGTATTTCAGGTATTTATATAATATTTTCAGATCATCTCAGAGTCAAATATCATTTATTTGCATTATGTTCAGCTATGTCAACAACTCCACTCACATAAACCTAAGGCTCCGTTTTCAAAATAATAACCTAATTTCTTAAATGTATAGAGTAATACACATTGTTATACACTGTCATGTTGAAAGTAAATGTACATTATTCTGTACATTTGAACAACTGGGTTAAGTGGAACCAGTTGACATAACGTGGTTTAATAAATTCAGTGTTTCATTACTTGGAATGTAGGGCCAATGGGAGATCAGCTCTAAGTTATGCTATGGACAGGTGATAAAGTCATTTCCTTCAGCCTTGGCGTTTAAATGACCTGCACGGCACCTCTCATGGACCCCAAACTCCACCCCTAAATCCTCCTCGCATGTTCTCTTTTCTTCTTCTTTTATAGTTCCCACTTCCTACCAAAGCCTGGATCTGTGCTCTGTTTGCTTTTTGTGCTGTTTTAGTGTTTTTTGCATTTTGTTTTATTTTTGTTAGAATTCATATCTGAAGTTAATATGGGATGTTTCCATAAACAAGTCTAAATGTGATGTTTGCTCTGCAGATGGATTCTAATCTTGGCCTTAGATAAAAATTTAGTACAATTTTAAAAAAATAAACATTGGAAATGTGTTACAGCATCAGTATTATTAAAACGGCCTTTAGAAACATGACCACCACTTTGACTATGTTCTATAAAAATGTTTGATAAAAATTCTAACTTTAGTCAAAAACATATTAAAGTATTCAGCCAAAGCCCTTCTTGGTCTTCTGCTGTGGTTCATCTGGAACTCATCAGGCCTGATTGTCTGGAAACAATAAAAATCAACCTAGCAGCAATAATAAAAGACTCATTTTTATTTGATTGCGTTTTAGTGCTAGAGTCATTTGAATTGTCCTAACATTATGGTTTTAACTATTCTTCTTTTTAACCCAGATGCTTGATTTTATTTTGTCCGACATTTGTTTTTTTTTATCGATTAGTCTTATTCCGATATCTCTCTTTATCTGTAATAGTGTTTGCTTGATATTTTATGATTTTATGTTTTTATCCTGCTTTTATGCCCATGTACCGGGAATGTTTTTCTTTTAATGATGTTGTTCAGCACCTTGGACTTCCGATAATGTTGTAGAAGGTGCTATACAAATAAAATTTGATTTATTGATTGATTAATAATATAGCCTGGCTAGACATCCTATGTAAATATGGAGAGCGGCCATGACTTATTGAGAAAGCTCAGTGGTGGGGCGGAATCTACAGTTGTCTTTCAAACTGTCTCTGCATGCAATGGGACAGCGCTTGGACCAATCAGAGCAACAAACAGTGTGATGTACTCATCTCTATGGAAGTCTTCCAATGGGGTTGGCCACCATATACCATCGATGAAGAAGGTGTTACCTCTATCTGCTCGTCTGAAAAGCCCAAGCTTAAATTGTCCAAAGTTGATGCTAAACCCAAATGAGCGCTGTTCCTGAGCCGCTGCCATCTTTGTTGTTTTGTTTAATTGCAGCTCTGCTGTCATCATAAATAAGTTCTGCCGCAGTGGTGCTAAGCCCACCCAGTGCCTCTCTACAAGCCTAGCGCACTGTGATTGGCCCGGCTGAGCCCATAGTAGACTTGCTGGGGCTACAATGGGGCATGGCAAGACCGACCAGCAGAGAAAATTGTTTTGCTACTGCCACGGTTGGTGTAGATTTCAAGACTAATAATCACCAACCTCAGATTTAAATCTGAGCTCATTTCAGTAAGTGTGATCAAATAATAGACAGAAGTTTCCTTTAGGGGTTGACTAATAACGGCCAATTCTGATGGTAAGTCCTGTAAATCAGAGCAGCTGTTTTATAAATAAAACTAAAGTATACAAACTACAGTTTTTAACACATTAGCAAAAGGGCTGTGCCATCTGCTGTGAAAATTTGGAGTTGGTTTATAAGACAGTAATTATTTATTTCAGAATCAGCTCAAAAAGTCCTGTTCAAGTCTACATCTTCTGGGTTCTTCCTGTAGAAGAAGATCCTTAATGTTCAAAGTCATACTAAGAATACTTAATCTAATGGGATTATGATGCTCAGGTCTGCTTGATGCAAATTGTTTAATCAAACAATCTAATTTATAAAAATGATGGCCAGATTTAGTTTTTATAAATTTTATAATTTACAAAACAAATAAAAAATAAATAAAACCATATACAGGATGATGGTGTGTTTTCTGAAATGCTGCTGTAAGTTTGATTTTGTTGTCATTTGAACACCACATGTACCCCCGTACGTAACAAGATGAATTTTTCCTATGAAAGCAGCATATGCTGTCCTTTCAGATGCAGCTTTTTTATGTCAAAGAGAATTTTTAATAGAAATTAAAAGTTTATTACCTAATAAACAATTTGGGAACCATCCAGGAGTAACCCAGCAGAAGACACAGTCTGATCAGTTTTCAGCCATTTGTCTTTTACTGAAATTATACTGATTAAATAATAATGACTTATTAATTAAATTAATTAAATAATTAACAAAATTTCATCAAAATAAAAAAGGAATGAAGCAATGAAACAATCAGATTAGCTGAGATTAGTTAATCCCAAATTTGAGTTTATTGAGCAGCCAGAAATGTTATTTGGGTCTCTCACTGCATCTCACTGCTTGTCTGTTTGTGCATGTGTGTGTGTGTGTGTGTGTGTGTGTGTGTGCGTGTGTGTGTGTGTGTGTGTGTGTGTGTGTGTGCGTGCGTGCGTGTGTGTGTGTGTGTGCATGCTCATGTGTGTGTGTGTGTGTGTCCTTGTGTGTTAACAGGCCTGAAGACCATTGTGGGCGCTCTGATCCAGTCTGTGAAGAAGCTGTCAGACGTGATGATCCTGACCGTCTTCTGTCTCAGCGTCTTCGCTCTGATCGGCCTGCAGCTCTTCATGGGGAACCTCCGGAACAAGTGTGTGTTCTGGCCGATCAACATGACCGAGCAGTACCTGGAGAACGGAAGCAGAGGTTTTGACTGGGGCCAGTTCATCAATAATGAGAGTAAGCAAATCTTCTGGTGCTTGATTGAACCGTGACCATGTGAACCAGGGTTTAGATGGAACATGTGCTCGGGTTTAAATGATGCAGCGGAGAAGGTGACTGTCCCGTTTTACCTTCTCTCTCAGCTAACTTCTACTTCCTCCCTGGAGCGCTGGATGCTCTGCTATGTGGAAACAGTTCAGACTCAGGGTGAGTATCGGAGCACACAAATGCACCAAAAACTCCCACAAGTCTGTTTTATTATTTTACCTTGCTGTGTGTTCCTTCCAGACAATGTCCCGAGGGTTTTACATGCATGAAAGCAGGAAGGAACCCCAACTACGGTTACACCAGCTTCGACAGCTTCGGATGGGCTTTCCTCACCCTCTTTCGCCTCATGACTCAGGACTTCTGGGAAAATCTCTACATGCTGGTAAAGGACTGTTTTCCATAATTGCTCCAACTCTACATCACACCTAAAGTCTTTGCAGCTTCTTATGCTGGTTTTGGAACCCTATGTTTCTAATTACCTACCTTGTAGGCAGTAATAAAAATGCATGAGTTTTCTACCTGAATGAATCAGCAGTGTTTCTGAGCAGCTTTTGTTCTTTTACTCTCTGGTTAAGAAAGATGGAAGAACAGATCATCAAAAATGCAACTTCTGCACTTCTGAAATATGTGTTTGGTTAGTTTAAAAGCAGATAAATAATTATTCATTATTTTGTTTTTGTGTTCCAACCTCCTTTAGTGTTAGCACAAAGAATAAATTCATGTTCTTTAGCAGAAGGTCCAGTCATGGTCATATTTTTGTCTCAGACGCTCCGAGCTGCAGGGAAGACCTACATGGTTTTCTTTGTGCTGGTCATCTTCGTGGGCTCCTTCTACCTGGTGAATCTGATCTTGGCTGTGGTGGCCATGGCTTATGAGGAGCAGAACCAGGCTACGATGGAGGAGGCGGAGCAAAAAGAGGCTGAATTCAAAGCCATGCTGGAACAGCTTAAAAAACAACAAGAGGAGACGCAGGTTTGTCTCAGTGTCACTTCTCACATGGGTACTTACTTGTTTTACGCTGCCTGGTGAACTTTTTCTTGTCTTTTCAGGCTGCCGCGATGGCAACATCTGCAGGTACGGTGTCGGAGGCTGCGTTAGAAGACGTAGAAGGAGGGCATTTGTCTCGCAGCTCCTCTGAGGTCTCCAAGCTGAGCTCAAAGAGCGCAAAAGAGCGTCGCAACCGCAAGAAGAAGTGGCGCCAGAAAGAACAGGAGAAGGAGAAAGGAGATAGCGAGAAGGTCGTGAAGTCTGAATCAGATGATGGCAGCAAGAAAAGCACCATCCGGTTCCCAGGAAGCCGACTGGGGAGGAAGACGTCCATCATGAACCAGGTAGAAATACAGCACAGGTTTCATAGATTTCTAATGCGTCTGACTGCTTCAGATGGCTGAAACGTGAGCTGCTTACAGACTGATGAGTGAGATTGTGAGCTTGCAGGGGTCAGGCTTCTTGCTCCAGTCTCGTCCTACAATATTGGTTTACTGGCAGTGTTGGAGCCAATTACTGTGGAGGGCACTCTGGGAGTGGCTCTACTTAGAGGTTAAAGGTAACCTAATCAAGCGACAGGTGTGTGGCTTTGGAGACAAACGGTTTGACCGTGCAGGATAGTGTAGGCATCAATATTCTTTGAGTTTTGGTTTATTTTCTCTGCCTTTTTACTTTAATAAATGGATCAGCGTATCCGAACATGTATTTTGGACTGCCCTTTATTTGTAAGGACATTTCAACCCAGTATTCATTCTGCACTTAAGGCACGCGTTATCCAACAAAAAAGCCACAACAATAAGTCAAACCCATCTCCTTAATATGTTGGAGAGGTAAGCTATACAGGTGCATCCACCTGCGCGCTGCCAGCTCTGATTGCCTCCTGTCTGACAACGCACTGGGTGCGCTCTCCCACACAGAGGAAGCATTGAACCTGTGGTGACATCTCACAGAGCTGGGAAACTGGGTTTGACCAGAGCCACGGAGCAAGGATCAGAGGCAGCCTTGGCGCAGCTACCAGGAAGGACTGGGTCTTACCTGAGCGCGGAGCGAGATTGGGTTTCAAAGAGGACGGCGCCTGGTGATCGGAACAAGGAGCGGAAGAGAGGAGCGGTGCTTGGACCCGTAGAGGACAGAGCCAGCGGGCCAGGAGCAACGCAGAACCGCAGTTCTGGGACCCGCGGAAGACAGAACTCAAAGTGAGGTGCCGAACCAAGTCAGGCAGGTCATGCCTGAAGCAGCCAAGAGGATTCAGCAGGAGTATCTGGTTGGTGATTGAAGTTCAGAAGTTCATCATATGAGATACCAGTAGCGCTACAGTCTAAATACAGTCTTAATGATGGCCACTAAATCCAATGTGCATTGGTCAAAATATCTGAACTGAACTAAAGAAGAAAACAAAGACTTATTATTAAAAGTTTGAACTTGAAGAGTATGGTGTAGACCAGTGTTTTGTTTGAATGAACTGAATTTAAAAGGGTTAAGTTAAAACGTGGTAAAATGAGTGACATTGATACAAACATTTTGTCTAAAGGTGATCAAACGTGTGAAAACCCAACTGGTGCGGTTGAATGCAAGAAAGCAGTGCGTGAAGGTAAAAGGGAAATTAAATTAACAGAAAGGGCACTTCTGCCTAAAATCTCTGACCTAGAAAAAAAAAGGAAATATTTGCTGAGTAAAGCTTCTGGCGTTAAAGAACAGTTACTTGAATTGTTATCTACAAATGGGTCATTTGAGGAGGTCAAAGGTGTGTTTTCAAAGTATGAGATACTCATTAATGATGCCAAAGATGCACATGAGAGTTTATTGGAGCTTTTACCTGGTTCCGAAAAGGAAACGAGGGACCGGTGGAGAAGAGGCAGGGACCAGTAGAGTCCGGGGGCCGGCGTCTGGGGCAGAGGAGGAGGTGGAAACTGAGTCTGGGGGGCCGGCGTCTGGGGCAGAGGAGGAGGTGGAAACTGAGTCTGGGGGGCCGGCATCTGGGGCAGAGGAGGAGGCGGCAACTGAGTCTGCGGGGCCGGCGTCTGAGGCAGAGGAGGAGACGGCGACGGGCTCTGGGGGGCTGGCGTCTGAGGTAGAGGAGGAGACGACAATGGGCTCTGGGGGGGGCGGCGTCTGGGGCAGTGGAGGAGACAGCGACGGGCTCTGGGGGACCGGTGTCTGGGGCAGAGGAGGAGACGGCGACGGGCTCTGGAGGGCCGGCATCTGGGGCAGATGAGGAGACGACGACGGGCTCTGGGAGGCTTGCGCCTGGACGACTGGAGGCAGAGCCGCTGCAGGGGGAGTCTCGGCAGGTAGAGGTGACTGGAGTAGAGGCGCCAATGACTTGGGTGGAGACACCGTGCCAGGAGCCGATGGGGTGGAGACACCGGGCCGGGCACAGACGGGGGTGGAGGCGCCGCACTGGGCGCCAACGGGACTGGAGGCGCCGCGTCGGGCGCTGACGGAATTGGAGGTGGGACCGCTGACTGGGCTGGAGCCACCAGATGTGGCGTCGACAGGACTGGAGGTGGCGACAAGACTGGAGGCGTTGACAGGGCTGGAGTCGCCTACTTGAGTGGATGCGAATCCACTGCAGGCGGAGCCTCTTGGAAAGGCGGCACCACTGCAGGCATGGCCGCTGCCTCGGCTGGAGACACCGGACGTGGCGCTGACTTCTGGACTGGAGGCGCCGGATGTAGCGCTGACTTCTGGGCTGAAGGTACCAGACGTGGCGCTGACTTCTGGACTGGAGGCGCCGGACGTGGCACTGACTTCTGGACTGAAGGTGCCGGACGTGGCGCTGACTTCTGGACTGGAGGCGCCGGACGTGATGCTGACCTCTGGACTGGAGGTGCTGGACTGGGCGCTGACGACTGGACTGAAGGCGCCAGACTGGGCGCTGATGACTGGACTGGAGGCGCCGGACTGGGAGCTGATGACTGGACTGGAGGTGCCGGACTGGGCACTGACGACTGGACTGGAGGCGCCGGACTAGGTGCTCACGACTGGACAGGCTGGGCCGGGGGCGCAGCCTCTTGGAGAGGCTGGGCCAGGGGCGTAGCCTCTTGGACAGGCTGGGCAGGGGGCACAGGACCTGGCGATGACTGGGCCGGAGGCGCAGGACCTGGCGATGACTGGGCCGGTGGCGGAGCCGATGACTGGAAAAGCAGGGAGGATGGATTGTCCAGCTGGAACTTCTGGAGACTGAGGATCTGACGGAGTCGGACCAGCTCAGCTCGGAGACCTCAGCTCTGTTGAATGGGCTGCAGGCTCGGTCCCTTGGCCTGGAGACAAGGGAGCTGCTGACTGGACCGGAGGCGGGGCCACTGGCTGGACAGAAACCCTCTTCTGGAGATACAGGGAGGATAGGGTGTCCAGCTGGAACTCCTGGAGGTTGATGAGTTGACGAAGCTGGCCAAGCGCCGCTTGGAGGCTGGCGAGCTCCGTCTGATGGGCTGCAGATGAAGGAGGTGCTGACTGGACCGGAGGCAGGGCCGCTGATCTTACTGGTGGCGGGTCAAAGCTGGCGCGCCAAGCCGGGGCGGCGGTGAGCCTGCGGGGCCGCTCCGGGGCTGGGGGTGCTGGTGGAGTCGGGGTTCCTTCCTGGCGCCATGGACCAACGCCAGGGGAGCACACAGCCAGCCTGGTGCCTACATAGCAGGATTGGTCCAGCTGCGTCTCCCAGTCCAACCTCTCCTCTGGCTCCGGGAGGGTGGAGAGGATCGCAGAGGCTCGATGGCGGCGTCGGCGACGTGGCGGTGTTGGAGGAGGATAAGCCGGCTGGTGGCTCGGGGTGAGCCATCGGAGCAGGTACTCCCAGGGGAGAACCTCCCCGCTGGATCCTTCGGGAGGTCGGTTCATTCGGTCACGGTGCAGGTGAGTTGAACGGTTGTGAGGATCCAAATGCTGGGGAGGAAGCAGGCAGGCAGACAAACTGGAGCACGTAAAAGGTTTTTAATGATGAACGCATGCAGGACATGGAAACAATGAATTGACAAAACACACAGAACTGAGAGGGTTTAAATACATGAGGGCTGGGAGCTTGGGTGATTGGAAAACGAGAGGCAGGTGGGAGCAATTAACAGGGACACATGACTGAACAGAACGGGGAGACAGGGCAGGGTGTGACAATAAGCGCAGATGCAGCAAAGTTGCATGAACCGTGGGAAGTGGTTAACAGCCAAGGAGAAGGACCTTATGCCACAAAGACCCTATTGGGGTGGGTTGTAAGAGGCACAGAGGGAGGGGGTCCTGACAAGTTGGAGGTTAGCAGTCAATTTGTAACAGTAAATCGCACTTCGGTACTCGCATTAGAAAATCTCTTGGAAAAACAACATGAACACAACTTCAAAGATTTAAGCAAAGATGACAAGGAAGAACTTTCCCAAGATGGCAAAAAGTTTCTGCAGATTTTGAATGAATCAGTGAAATATGAAAACGGACACTACAGTTTACCGTTGCCATTCAAAGAGCCAAACATTGAACTTCCAAACAACCTATGTGTTGCTCAACAACGCTTGAGTGGTCTGAAAAGGAAAATGGAAAGAAATGAAGTATTTTACAAGGAATATACTGCATTCATGAATGAAATACTAAACAATGGATTTGCAGAGCTAATACTGGAAAATGAATTAAGAAGCTCTCCAGAAAACATCAATTACATTCCACATCATGGCGTGTATCACCCGCATTAAGGCAAGCTACGTGTGGTTTTTGATAGTGGAGCCAAGTTTAAAGGAATGTCTCTAAATGACAAACTTCTCCAAGGGCCAAATCTTACAAGTTCATTGACTGGAGTATTACTAAGATTCAAACAAGAACCATTTGCATTCATGACGGACATCGAATCAATGTTCTACCAAGTCAGAGTTGCTAAGGAGCATAAGATCTTTCTCAGGTTCTTGTGGTGGCCGGAGGGTGATTTAAATAAAGAAGTTACCAAATATAGAATGACCGTTCACCTGTTTGAAGCGGTCTCATCACCAAGCTGTTCCTGCTTTGCCTTAAGGAAGATGGCGGAAGATCATTGTCATGAGTTTTCCTGTGAAGTGGTTCAAACCGTTTATAAAAACTTTTACATTGACGATTGCTTGACAAGTTTGCCCTTGGTTGAAAAGGCAATAGAAGTCGCTCATGATCTGAGCGAACTGTGTCACCAAGGTGGATTTCATCTCACACAGTGGACCAGCAATAATCGGACAGTACTTCAAGTAATACCTGAACAGGATCATTCCAAATATGTCAAAGTACTTGATTTAGACAAAGACCAACTTCCAACTGAGAGGGACTTGGGACTACAATAATGTTTGGAAAGTGATCATTTCATCTTTTCAATTAGTGAAAAAATAAAGCTCCATACCCGCCG